TTTTTTTGGAACCGTTTTATAAACCTGAAAAAGTGGTTTGCGTCAGCACAGAATCGATGCGGCATCGTCGAGCGCTCTATCCAATTGCAGCAGTTCCAGTAACCATTCGTCAACGGAAAATATGTATAGTGGCGTGTTGCCTTGATTATTGTGTTTATCACTTTTCGTTTATAACAATTACTGTTCAGTTCTCCAGAATTCATAATCGTTCAGATATGGATCAGATAGTAATTCAGCATTTTTAGTCTAGAAGTATTTAGTTTTCTGACGTTCTGTAATAGACCTTAAGCAAAACGGATTTCTCTCATTAATAAACTTTATTTACTCAGTTTTTATTTATATATATATTTTATCTAGTTTATTATCAGTTCTTTTGTTCTTTAAGCAGGTACTTCTGACCCATGTTTTGTTTTTGATTTTAGGATATTTTGTTTTATCTAAGAGCTTTAGTTAAGAATTATTCTTTTAATACACTAAATCATTATTTGTCATTACCATTTCCACCATCATCATGGCGCATGTTTAATGAAAAATTTTAAAAGTAACCTGTTCCGTTTGGAACCTAATACCAACGTGAAACTGGAACGTTGTAACCTTGTTACAGAAAAATAACCGTTTGTCCCACCTCTACTGTGGATGGCAATTCAGGAAATTGGGGACTACAATTTGTATGCCTTTCAGTCATGAAGTAGGCCGAGGAACCTTGAATTGTACATTTGCAAAAAACGGCGACAAAAATCAACAAATCGAAAGAGTTTTTCAGGTGGATTTAGGGGACATTTTTGTGTTAAAATAACGACTTTCTTTGAATGYGCCACGAAAACCAGCCTTCTGGAAGCAAGAGAAAACTGCWGCGTTCCAAAATATCACAGTTTTCTAATAWTTTTGTAGCAAAATGGAAAACTACGGCCAAAAAAACTGGTGAATTCGGCATCCAGGTTTATTAGCTATTGGAAAATTCGAAGATAGAGTCGATTCCGTGGACAATTTCAGTGGTGGTTCGACAGGTAAAACATTTGAACGGAAAGCTTGCCACGATATTAGCCTGCCATTACCATATCAATTATTCCAACGTTGCCGCTGTGCCCGCGGTTGCCCTTTCTTTCATCGAGTCGGAAAACTATGAATCCGGCGACTTGCCAAACTTGCTTTTACATCGCGAAACAAAATCCAATCGGTATTGCACCTTTAGCCTACTTTGTTTTGTATTGTGCGGACTTGCCACGTAAATATTAAAATTTCTAGTGGCACATTTTTAGATCGGCTAGTAGAAAGGCGTGAGTGTGTGGCCTGATACGAGAAAACCATTTGGTCGAGTTTAGATATTGTTGTCGATTGACAATCATTATTATTACTACTACACAAATTGCCTCAATTGTTTGGTCGATTTGCGTGGATATGGCAAAATGCGCATTTTCACATTACCTGTGCTCATGTTGGAGTCTTGGCTATGGATGGATTGGGAAGTGTTTACTGTTGACTGCGGTGCCATCTGTATGTGAGATCCAGCTGACATCTGAAATTGAAAATTGAAAAAATTAGCAAATTGCACAAATTACTCAGGCAAAATTAGGGGTTTCACCGAAAAACCCGCCAAAGATTTGAAATATTTGACAAATGACATTCGGTTGAGAGTCGGCTAAAACAGTTGCCTTTATAGTAGAGGGGCCAATGTCATTGTCAGACGCTCAAGACAGTTGACAAAGAAAACGAGAAAACAACAAACCTTCTGTATGGGAGCTTGACCAGACCGAAATGCTTCGAACGCACCGACCAAGAACGCAGAATTCAATTAAATACATGAATACAATAAATTAAAATCGGCTCGTCCAAACAGCGCAACAATCAAGCTCAGTCTTCATTTTATTCGTCGACTTTTTCGATTCGAGAGGAAGTCGCAGGCTGAGTCGACGTTTTCAGGGCAGGTAATATCGTCAGACGTCGATGACGATTATTTTGCCTTGTTTCTCTCTCTTTCCTTATAATTGTGTGCGATCTTACTTTGCAGATTGAAAAATCGCAAATTCCAAACATGCTTGGATGCCTACTACTATTATACACACACACTGCAACCGAACCGACAGACTGCTGCCGCCCAATATACGGTACCCGATCTTTCTTACCTGGGCTCGACAAATAGTATTTAATTCACCTTCAGTTCTTCGCTACTTAATCAGCAATTCCGCGAGATGGCAATGCAGGCATCTATGGAAATTCGACAGACATTGACATGAGTTGTCAAACGCTGGCAAACAGGTTATCGAATCATTCGTTTTTCAATCATTTTTCCTTTGTTGCCCAACAAGCTGGAAGCATCGCAAAAAAGGGAAATCGTGGTCAAGTTGCAGCTTGCAAAGGTGAGTGTCTGAACCAGCTATTGGTGTTACAAATGCGTTGACTTCAATTTGGAAAAAGCTCACACAGACAAAACCACAATTTTAATAGCGCCTGAGACATCGAATTCTACCCATTTTTGCACTTAATCCCGAGTAAACCTAGTTGATCTTCAATCCATTTGCCCGGATACTGCACAGCCTCATTTTTGAAAACGTTGTACCTACTTAACACAGCCGAATCTCACCCAATATTAAACCGGCATTATTCCGCTGAAAACGCTAGAAAAATCAGCATAACGACGCGTTTTTTTCACCATGTGACTCCCCACAATCTATGTATTTATTGTGAATATCTGGCAATGGCCAAAGCAGCTTTTTTCAATGTTTCCAAGTCCAAGTCAATAAATAAATATTGCCGATAGTTTCGCTTAATGCTCACATTAAAGGATATTAAATATTCCATTGCAAAGCGCGCTAATAAAAATTCAAGGTTGCAAGTTCGGAACATTGCCGAAATTGTACCAGTATATCATATGCATAACATTATCTTCAAATGAATAGATTGAGCGGTAGAAGCAGCGAAAACCCGAAAATCTGCGTTTACTGTATCCACTTGGTTTCCGCACCCTAATATAGAATCGACATGAACGTACATACATACATCTCAAAGTCGCCCCGTAACCGTTTTAAAATACATATAAAACACTTTCTTAGCTTGTTAACCCAAGCATCTATAATGTGCCATACAAACAACAGTTGTTCTATAAATAACCAATCTATTAATAAAAATCAATGACTGTATCGCTGTTTCACTGAATATATGCCGGCATTATTTAATTTCAACCATTTCCCACACCTCAATTTTTACCTAGTAGGCCAGAAGATTTTTTTTGGTTCTGGTAACATTTAAAGCACAATCGGCCCTGAAAACAATGGAATGTTGGCAAAGTCACATATTAGCTTAGATCCCTTGATTTCTCGAGGTCGAGAAGTTGTTTCGCGAAAAGAACCACACATGAATCCCTTTCGAAAACGGATTTCTTCGGGAATTCTACCCGAATGCGATCCAAACGACCGCCCACCGACCTATAAATACACTTCAAGTCTAAAAATTGACCCGTAAACGAAAACTAAATAACTTATTGGTGTGTGTGTATACACCAACCTACTCAAACCGGCCAAAGTAACGACTAGACTTAAATACTGCCACGTCGTGGATGTGACTAAATCGGAATCAAACCTACATTATCATCGAGATGATTTCAATGGTAGTTACCATTGGCAGCGTCAGCTCCAACAACCACGTTCCTCACCAATGGAACTTCTTGAATCATTTTCACGTTTTTTGCTCGTTTGTATCAAGAATGCCAGTTCAAACTGACCAAAATCCCTACTCTCTCTCTCTAAGACAGACCTTTGGAACGATTTGCAAACGATTTTTTTTATTCACACTCGTCCAAACGTTTCAGACTATATTTTCTTGGAAAGTGCTAGAAAATGTTGAGGCTGAACTGTTTAATCGGAGCTTAGTATATTCAATCATTTTCCGCATTCGCCTGCAAACGGTTGCAGATCTACCAACCAAAACGTGATTAAAACACCTTTGTAAGACAATGAAAGCCGGAATAAACCGCACTAATCCAGAGAATTGAACGTGAAAAAACGCAAACTAGTCCATGTGGAAGACTCTGGCACTAAAAGAAACCAAATATTTATCACTGCTAAATCAAATCAAATTTAGGCGATTATCAGACAATACAGCTGTGGATAAATCTCTTAATAACCAATTACCTAAAGGAAAATGTTCTTTTAACTGTCTAATTATCGGGCAAATGAGAAAAAAATGTCATTTGCCTTGAGCTTAGGCAAAGTAGTGCATTACGCATTCACTAGGCACACTACCTGAATTGAATTGCAATTTTACCTATTTGTTGCTATTAAAATGTCTTTTCCGTAACAATTAACAAGTGTTTTGCTGTTATGTTTCTAATAAGTGCAAGGAAAAATTCATGATGCAATCACGCCTACTGTATTATTTTATTTAAATAACAAATTCCTTAGAAACTGCGTGTTTTAATGCTGCAGTTTGGCTCAGAATCCGCTAGACAGAACACATTTTATCTAGGAAACAGGTTGAAAAAAGTCAAGATTTATATTTCTGTCTTGCAAACGATGACTATTCGATCAAATTTCTCCATTTTCTGCGCGATAGGTGAAACTATACAAAAAGTGCGTATTTTAATGCTCTATCCGGCAATGAGAACTAGGGCTTTACAGCTCAACTCCTCTAAATATGAGTCAAAGTGTAAAAGCGGTTTTAAAATTTGAGTTAATTTCAAAATTTCGCATTTCGAAAACCAAAAAACTTTTCTCAATTGATGTTTTATATAGAAAAGTGCGTATTTTAATGCTCTATCCGGCAATGAGAACTGAGGCTTTACAGCTCAACTGGTTCTCTAAATATGATCCAAAGGCTAAAAACGGTTTTCAAGATCCGCGTTAATTCTACATTTTTTCGCATTTTG